GAGAAGTACAGCACCAGGCGAGCAGGCGCGGGCTGTGGCTTGACCCTCGGGCCCTGAGAAAAAGGGCCTCGTAATTCAGTACAGCAAATTCTTAAACCATAAATATATCTGCCTTGGGCCGGTGAGATAGCTCAGAGGTCTGCGCGCCTGTCTCGGCAAGCGTGGGAACTGCCTTGCCAGCCCCACCCCAGGGCAGGCTGAGCCGGCGGCCACCAAAACAAAAGTGCCTTTTGGGTGGAATCAAAAAGAACATGACGCTGTGAACATTTTTAGATATAAGCACTCTTTGTATTTGTTTGTTTGGGTTTTGTTTTATTGAGACAGGGTCTCGCTGTGTCTAGCCTCAAACCCACAGCCATCGTCCTGCCTCAGCCTCCTGAGTGCCGGGATTACAGATGATTGTCACTGTGCCTGGCTTTGTTGGCATTCTTTTGCCTTCATAGTCACTTTATTGGCTTAATGACATTAGCTGTTCTGTGCAGAACTTTTCTTGGCCATTGTTATTGTGACTGACAGGTTCGGTTTTGGTGCCTAGCTCTCCCAGAGTGCTGGGATTACGGGTACACCTAAATAGGGACTTCAAGGCCAGACCCCGTCTCAAAAAACAAAACAAAAACACACTTTCTGAACCTTGTCACACATCTTAATCTGACTAATGTCCAAACCTACTTGGTCTTTCACTGTGCTTCAGAAAATACAATTTTCTGAAATAAGAGGAGTGGGGGGGTTCATTAAACCCAGTCTGCATTCTTAAAGAAAATGATGCAGCTGAAAACACTGTAAGATAGTGATGTGTGTGCCCACGGCTCCAGCCCCAGCAGGCAAGAGGCTGAGGCACGAAGCTCCTGCCCCGGCAACATAATGAGACTCGATATGAAACAGCTATGACGGTGAGCTCCCTGGGCACCGCCTCTCAGTCTTGGATCAGGAACAGGCAGCATCGCTTGCACTGCATTCCGTCTCTGAGCTTTTGGTTTTTCTCTTTTGAGCCCTTAGGTTCTTCGCTGGGGACTGAGGACCTAAACAAAGGGGAGAGGGGAAGGCAGGGTCTCTCTGAGCTGTGGTCTCTGCAGACTTGGACACCAGCACCTCGTGGGCGGCAGCTGCAGGCTGCTCCGTGTTGGCTGCAGTGGGGGCGCGGGTGCTGGTGCACCAGGGACCCCTGGGAGGGAGGGTTGCCTACCGTGGAGACTCGCGCCAGGTGGTTCAGGGGAGAGCTGCTAAGGGCCGGGGTTTTGTTCCAGATTTGGGGCTGCTTTAGGGTGTAGG